AAGTGATGATGTGGTGAAATTTTCCATTAACTAATTCAATTTCTTTTAATATTGAATATTAGGTGGAAAAAAGGTAAGTGATATGGCATATTTTGTCGTATATGTGGCATTTTTTTGAAAATAACATGGATTTTATTAAGTTAAATTAAATTTAAATAATTATTAAATAACTTTAATTTGGTTAAATACCTAATTTGCCCTCCCCATCCCTTCTTCTTCCTCATCCTTCTTCCCTCACGCAATCTCTTTTCACCAGCTCACCTAAGCACTTTGATGACATGCAAGTTTAGATCTTTGATAAGGCTTGTGGGGCCAGGGTTCAACCTTAATTAACCTAGCCTTTTCTCTCTTTCTCTTTAATGGATCTCCAACCCCCTTCTCCTTCTTTGTTCCCTCATTCCCTCATCTTTTCTCCTATTCACCCCTCATTTTCCAAAACATTAGACATGTGTCAAACGACTATGCGATCGGAGGTGATCCTTCATCTTATTTCTCTCTTTCTCCTTTTTCTCTTTTCTTTTATAGAAGGATGGGCCAACGAGGAACCCAAATTTGGGTTCTATATCTATCATAGACCATGATTCTAGATCTGTTGTAGGCTAAGGTTCAATTCCAGACTTGTTGCAGGCTAGGGTTCAACCTTAGTTTCCTTTGGCTTTTGCTTTGAATTTAAGTTTCATTTTTGGGTTTGATTTGTGGGAATTTTATATGCATTAAATTTGGTTTTGTTGATGAGATTTTCCTCCATGAAAAGTATACCAAGGATATTGGGAATGTTGGCTGAGGAAGACCAAACCATGGAAGAAGGGAGAAAGAAAAAGGAAGGGAGGATGAGTATTTAGTTGTTGTCATCGCATTCGCCATCGCCATAACCAAAGAAGGAGAAGTTAGTAGTGCACAAAGAAAAAGAGTGTGATCGCTTGCAAATTAGATTTAGGGTTTCTTGTGTTTTTAAGATGTCTACGTTGGTAGTGAAACGGTGAGTATTGGGTTAGTGAGTAAAATTTGGCTAACATGCCATTTAAAATAAACACCCAAAGGGTGTGATGATGTGGCATTTTAACCAAATGTTACTCACTAATCCAATACTCATTGTTTAACTGCCAACATAGATATCTTAAAAACACAAGAAACCCTAAATCTAATCTCCAAGTGATCACACCCTTCCTTTTTGTGCACTGCTGACCTCTCCTTCTTTGATGATGTGACGGCAACAGCACGGTGCTCTTCCTCCTTCTCCTTCTTTCCTTCTTTCCTTCTTTTCTCTTTTCTCCTTTCTCCCGTGGCTTATCTTCCTTAGCCAACATTCCCAAGCTCCTTGGTATATTTTTCATGGAGGAAAATCTCCTCAACAAAACCAAATTTATGTACATAAAATTCCCATGAATCAGACCTAGAAATAAAACCTAGATACAAAGCAAAAGCCAAAAAAAAAAAAAAAAACTAAGGTTGAACCCCTGCCTACAATAAATATTGAATTGAACCCTAGCCTGCAATAGATCTAGAATCATGGCCTACGACAGATCTGGAACCCAAATCTAGGTTCCTTGTTGGCCCATCCTTTTATAAAGGAGAAGAGAAAGAGGAAAAAATAGAGAAATAAGATGAAAGCTCATCTCTGATTGGATAGTTGTTTCACACATGTCTAATGCTTGGGAAAATAAAGGATGAATAGGAGAAAAGATGAGGGAACGAAGGAGGAGAAAGGGGTTGGAGATCCATTGAAGAGAAAGAGAGAAAAGGCTAGATTAACTAAGGTTAACCTTGACTTGTGAGCTTCATAAGAGATCCAGGCTTGCACATCGTTGGAGTGATTAGGTGAACTGGTAAGGAGAGGTTGCATGAGGGAAGAAGGATGAGGAAGAAGAATGGATGGGGAGGGCAAATCGAGTATTTAACCAAATTAAAGTTATTTAATAATTATTTAAATTTGAATTTAACTTAATAAAATCTATGTCATTTTAAAAAAATGACACATATATTATAAAATATGCCATATCACTTACTTTTTTTTTCCACCTAATATTCAATATTAAAAGAAATTGAATTAGTTAATGAAAAATTTTACCACATCATCATTTAACTGAAAGAAAGATGAAATTGGTACCAAAAATTAAAGTTTAAGGATAATTTTGGTACTTTTTGAGGTTTCAAGGTAGATTTAGTTAAAAATGAAAGTTGAGGGACCAAATCGGGTATTTAACCCCCATGCAAACCTAAAGAGTCTTAATCTTAAAGCTATAAATTGGAATTCCAGTCCTTTGTCGGCTATTGCAATCTTCTCTAACCCTCGATTAACTGTTCACACTCTGTGGGAAGGCATGGCAAAGAAGAAGTGGAAACGTGAAGAAAGTGAAGAAAAAGCAACTCCTGCACAAGAGATGAACAATAAACCCAATAACAAGCGAAAGCGAAACAATCAAGTTTTCCCCTTCGGCAATTACAGAAACTACTATGGCTATCGAGTAATATCTTCTCCGTTCCTCTCTCCTTTGTGGGTTTTCTGGTTCAGCCCTAAAAATGTTTCCATTTTGTTTCATTTTTTTTTTTGTAAGTAAGATAATAAGTCTTGATTTTGTTGTTCTATTGGGTGTTTTAGGTTGGTCGTGATGTAGAGGAAGATCCTCGGCTTAGGATCTTTAAAAAGGAATGGTTTGAAGGGAAGGATTGCCTTGATATTGGTTGCAACAGTGGGGTTGTAACTGTTGATATAGGTAATTTGTTCTCAGCCAAAAATGTATTTTCTTTGTAAGTTTTTGCTTCATTATGTGTTTTTTCTTTTGTTGCTTCATTATGGGTTTTTTGACAGTAATCTTCCCCTTTTCTTTTCTTGAGATGGGAATAAAAGTAGAATCATGAAATGTAAATTAGGGTTTAATAGTTAATTAGTATTAGACTTTATTAAAGAAAAATAGAGAAAATATAAAAAAATTTTATTTTTAATTTTAATTTTTTAGAAGTTGGGTCCAGCGGACCAATTTGAGAGCTGTCTGGGTGGGTCATGGGTCTATCCCTTTTTAACATGACACTCGAAATGACCCAATCTGGAAAAATCCTATCTCCGAGATGACCGAATCTGAAGCCACCCAATCCAACCTGTTTGCCAGGTCTAGTTTTTTCTTTTGTTAAGAGTAGCAGCTCTTAAGTGAAATTTGCATTATGGATTAGCGGGGATGTTTTACTTTACTATGAGTCATTTATGTTAATTGCAAGGCATTGTCTATGAGGGAAATAGGGAAATTGGGAATCAGGGGAAGATGAAATTGTTGGTGAAGTTATTTGCATTGTCATATTGAATCAAAGCTGGGATTAGCAAGTTGGTCCAAATTCCAATCATCAGATCAACTGCTTTTAGCTAATTTGCTTTGCAATTTTTTGTTCGGGGTTTTCACCAGAATGTAAGAAATACTTTATAAATAATATCGATTTTAAGATTGGAATGAAATAATCCTCTTGATGTCCTGTAGCCTTCTTGGGAGAAAAACTTTAGAACTAAGTGCTTTTTGTGTCTGTTTTGATGGTTCAGTTTGAATTCAGCACATGCATGGAGCTAGCTTGCTGTTCAGAAACGTAATTGTTTGCATGATTTAGATAATTTTCCTTTTTCCTTTTTCCTTTGCAGCAAAGAAGTATAATTGTGGGAGCATCCTTGGAATTGACATTGATTCAGGTAAGATTCTGATTAGAGGCTTAATTTTTTATGTCAACAAGTTTAACTAAGGTATTTAAATTTCTTAATTGGTTTTGTTCAATCTGTTGTCTGATATGTCAAGCAATTGATCTTTTTTTCTCCTCCTTGGGGAGAAAAGGTGGAGGGAGGAATATTTAGACAAAAATGCAATAATTCATGGCGATATGTCCTAATGTTGTTGGTTGAATTCAACATGCTTTAAGCTCTTAGATTGTGCAGTGGTGTGTTCTAATGTACATGCATGTCATGCATAAACGGATGTCGTAGTTAATACATCCATAGGCAGAGTGTCTCTATCTTACTTTTTGTGATTGCCTATTTGCCTGATTGGTAGGATCTGTTATATATAATTATGGTTTTACATGTCTTGAGAATTGAGGGTTTTATTTTTATTTTTCAATGTTATTTTAATCATCAATCAGATCGAATTGAGGAGGCATACTGGTACCTTAGGAAAGTTGTGAAAATGGAATCTGGTGAGAAGAAACATCGAACAGATTCTAGTGTAAAGGCTGCAGCGAAGGTAAATAGTTCAGGACAGGGTGATACTTTCTCATCTAATGAAGGTACAAATGGAATTTCTAAAGACTGTCCTCCTCCTATGAAAAGAGATCTATCTGATATAGTATATTTCCAACGAGAAAATTTTGTTCAAAGTCGTCCTCACCCTGATAAGTCTTTTGATACAATACTCTGGTAAGTTTATCTTGTCCTATCACAGCCCCATGACTGATGTTCCTACTTATTATGCTCAAAATGCCTTTAGTGTGGTGTAAGCTGAAATGTATGTTTATTTTGATGCAGTTTGAGCGTGACAAAGTGGATTCATCTGAACTGGGGTGATGATGGATTGATCACCTTATTTTCAAGGATTTGGAGACTTCTTCGTTCGGTGAACATCATTCTTTCTCATTAAGCCCATTTATTTCCAAGTTTTTTTTTCCCCACACATAGATATGCACTGTTTACTCATCTGAATTGCTGTGATTCTGATCAGGGCGGCATTTTTATTTTGGAACCTCAACCTTGGAAATCCTATGAGAATAATCGTCAAGTCTCTGAGGTATCATTTATACCTCCCCCTCTGTTTTCTGCACTCCTAACACTGGCCAAATCACTTTCCATCTTTTATTTCTGTTTGTTTTAACCAAATTATATGGTTATATTAGTTTTCTTTCAAAAGTTGACTTCCAAACTTGATCCTAAAGAAACTTTTCTCGACAATATCTTGAAGACAGCGAAATTAAATTATCGAAACATTTTATTCCGTCCAGAGCGTTTTCAGGAAATCCTTTTGGATAAGGTATGTATCCGTTTCCTCCCTTGCATTTGGGCAAGTATTTGATTTAGATGCTTACATGTCTAGTCGTTGTTCGCAGATTGGATTTAGAATGGTAGAAGACATCACTTCTGGGTTGTCAGGCACCAAAATGGGTTTTGACAGACCAATATTTGCTTTCCACAAATGAATCAGTTCTTTGTTAGGTTGCCTCTTAGGCATCACTTATCAAGGGAGAGTATCTTGCAAAATTCCAGGGGCTGGAACTTTTTGATAATTGGGTGTCACAATTTTGCATTCAAACAAAATTATGTCCACTGCGGCACTGCCTAGCACCAGCAGAGTGAACTCTAAGGATCTGAAGTTTTTGGTTATGCTTGCCTGTTTTGTTCTATCACTACATCGTTCCATATGCCACCTTTGGGGAAAATGTTTGTTGCTAGATATTGTAAAGCGTGAATATAAGTGAACCAGAAGAACGGCAGATAAATTCGTTGTTGGGAAATCTTTATGACTTATTTTTTTATAGTCCAATCTTATCTTGTACCTCTACTTTAGAATGCTGCCAGTCAATTGAGGTTTTTTTGTTTTTCAG